TTAATTGGACTTTGAACCCTGCTCCGATTTATGATTTATTTAAAAATAAGTTTTATTGTATAAAAACTGAATTGTTATTGTCACACGTGTGATTTGGCTAAAAGTGAAGATTTGGAATGACAGGTTTGAATCTCGCTCCTTTGCAAAACTCTGTATTGCTATAATTTGAACTAAAATGATACAACATTTTAGGGTAATTTTGGTTTTATAATTATTAGAATGGTATAGTTTTAAAAATGAAAAAGTGTTGTGAACTTAATATGATTTTATTAAGAGAGAAACATGTGTTAACTTGATGCAAATTTAACTTACTAAAGTAAAGTTATATCAAATTTACATGATTTTAATTAATTTTTTTTAAATTATAATACATTCAAATCATATCAAACTGATAAAATTTTAGTTTATATCATTACACTAAAATCGTATTAAATAAGCACAACTTCAATTAAAATTTAAAAATAATTATAACAACCGAAAGGTATGATTTATTTATAATGAATATAAAAAGAAGCCATATCAAATTTATAAAACTTGTATTTTTATTTGTTTTTTAAAAATTTATACTATTTTTATAATTTTAAAAACAAAATTACATCATTTTTATAGATTTTGTGATAACAATGTCTCTATTTTATTAGAGAAAATTAAACTGTAAGAATAATATTAAGACATTATGCTATTAAAATATTGTTTGAAAAATAAAATACACTCTTTTTGTTTTTAAAATTTTTATTTTTTTCATGACAATAAATACATACATAAGATAATTCAATTTAGGTGAAATAATAAAAATATAAATAATAGAATAATGATTATTATTTTCCTGAATTTTATAAATAACAATTAAAGTGAAAAATAGAAAGAAAGTACTATTTAACAAATTTGTAATTGAGGAATTAGATATATTTCTGTTTATTTAATTCACTGTATGCATACCTGACCACCAACACCAACCCTTCAACTGTGCTATCTGACTTTCGGTACACATATTAATTAACGATGATGTACCTTACAAAAACGTTATTCCCTAAAAACCTAAAAACCTAAAAACCCACGTGTCCATGTTTTTTTCACTTTCGTGTATTGTTATGTATGAAATTTTTTCAGCTAGAAATAATTATAGATATTGCTTTTACAGTAATTATTCCAAAGGTAAAATTCTCCTGCATCCATCTAAAATAATCATAAATCTAAAAATATGATTTGATCTAGTATTAAAATAAAATCCGATAAATTGTTTAATTGGTGAAAAAATTGTTCAGAATTTGTTGGCAGAAGGTGGTAGAAAGATTGTAGTAGCTGGAATACCTCCAATGGGATGTCTACCGTTGATGATCACCATGAATTCTCCCGATGCCTTGTTCCAACGTGATTGCATTGAGAAATACTCTTCTATCGCAAGAGATTACAATCTGCTCCTTCAACAAGAATTACGCAAAATGCAATTGCACCTTATAAATTCCTCTGCTTCAAATGCTAAGATCTATTATGTCGACATATATAAACCCATTGCGGATATGATCCAATCTCGTAAGAGATTTGGTTAGTAATAATACCTTTTTCTTCTCTTCTCTCTGTGAGGAAATATTAGTCATGAATTCACTGATAATAATTTAGTTTTGTTTGAATTTGGTAGGATTTGAAGAGGTTGACAGTGGGTGCTGTGGAAGTGGGTTGATCGAAGCATCGATATTGTGTAACAAGATTTCAGATGTGTGTGTTGATCCATCAAAGTACGTATTCTGGGATTCGATTCACCCAACTCAGAAGGCATATCACAACATCTTCTTGAGCAGCATCTCTACCATTGACTTCATCATCAATAACTAGAATAACTTAATAGCTTTAGGTATCATCTATTTCTTGTTAACTCTTGCAAATCTACTCAATTATGTAAGTAGTAGTAAGATTACAAATTTAGAAGTTCCTAAGATTTGAATTCAAAATGTTTGAAAGAATTAAAAACTTATATGGTATTGATCAGGTTGGATTTCATAAATTCCCTGTTATATATTTTTATTTTCCTTAACAAAAAGTGAAGAATGCATATCATCACATGTGTGTGAAGTATGATAATTTAATAATTATGGTATTTATTAATTTATTTTTGTTTCAGAATCTGGAATTTGATCCTGAAATAAGTTGGCATAATTAAGTGAAGTTAAGAAGTGAAGTACTATTTCCAAAGCTAACGCTGAAAAGGGAGAACTCATTAATTTGACGTTATCACGTAAGACAACAACAGCTAGGAAGGAGGACCACACTGAGGCATCAAATTCTTATACTGAATTCAAGTTTTTGGCTTTATATAAAAGTGGTTTATATAAAATTATGAAAGCATTTATTTACAGTTCTGATGAAATAATATCTTATCTCTATCTCATCTTATAAAATATTTTCTCCATTTTTTTTTAGTTTTCGGGTTTTAATAAAAAAATGTTTTTTAATGATATTAATATGGTGTGATTAATAGCACTTTATTGTTGGTGCTGTTTTCGGTAGGGACCTATCGTCCCGGGGCCTGGGCTTCCTGACACACAGGCCCATTTCAATGCAGAAAAAAAATGTAACCCCATGTATGTGCCAACAAAATTAAATGCAAAAAAAAGTTGTAAAGTAGGAGTCAATGGAATCAAAGCAAAAGAATGCTAGAAAGCTACAAGCTACAAGTGTAAGAGTTTGTTAGGTAAGAAATTTTAGTTTGTTTTTTTACTAGTTCGAAAACATGTTGGACGATATCAGTAATGATTTATAAATAAACTTTTTTTTATGTAAATGCAGTATTGTTGAAATACTAATGGTTGAAATAGTATTTTAGTTTTATTTTTTTTAAAAAAATTGATTAGTATTTATTATATTTGATTTTTGTCCTATCTAAACATTGTAGGATTTTATTATTCATTTTTTCTATTTTTGGTTTCAATTATTGTGCTATTATTTCCTTTATCTATTTTATCATTTTAGCAGTGCATTTCAAAATATTCTTAGATTTTCATTTTCGTGTATTGGTAATATAAATTTTTTACACTCTCAATTAATTGAAATTTATTTTTAGATCAAATTAGTAATTTTTTTTATCTTGTGATTTATTATAAATGAAGCATATATATTCTTAACATTATTAATGTATTTTAATTAAATTTCCATACTTATACATAGAAAAGGATGTGAATTCTCTAGTGAAAGCAAAGGAGAAGTATTCTTTTTAAAATATGAACATATTAAAGGGGCTTGGATTTTACTATCACATCCATTTTATTGTTCAAGTTCGCATTTCAAGTTTTTATAAAAATATTTTCTAACAAAAAAACAAAAAAGGTTTATTGTGTATGTCAAAGTTAAATACCATAATTAAATAATAAAAATATACTTGTGGTGCATATTTGAACCTGATATATCTAGATGTACGATAAAGTATGTTTATTATTTATATTTCACAAAGTTTACCGTGATATAAAACGGAAATTTCATCAAGAATATTTTTGTTATTTCGCAAAGTGTAACATTAATTTGGCCTTAACCCACCAAGAGGGAAGCTCAATAAATTTAATATTTGATGGAAATGATTAATTTAATCATAGTTAATGTTAAATACATTTTAAAAATAAGATGAGTTTACAATAAATCTTATTTTACAAATTGATTTTAATTTTGTAAAATAAAATAAAATTTATTTGAAAATAATATTAAAATCAATTAATACTAATATGATGTGTAATTTGTTGTTATTATCTAATATTCATGCGTTGACAACATGAAAAATTATATAAGTAATTAATTTGTAAGGTTAAATTAAGTTTAAATTCATTTTTTTAAGAGTTAGATAGATTATCAATAAATATTAAGTTAATAAATTTGCATGATTAACTGAGTTAGATACATATGCATGGGACTAAATAGTAAATCATGCACTTCGTTTCTCCTCTTTGATTTTCGGTCATTTCCGACCCTTTTTTTTTCCAAAACTTTCTAATTCATGATGCTAGATGAATTTTCAAACTTTCAAGACTCATCTTCTGTTTAGAGATGATGCGAGATTTCTTATACTTAATCCTTGTTAACAAAATCTGGTTACATGATCTGTGAATCAGAAAGAATCCATCACTATTGCACTAACCAAGACCTCTTGAATTTCTGACACAAGGTCACATTAAACCACGAAAGATGACGTTCGATACCAAGTACACTTCTGCCTTTGTAAATCAAAAAGGAAAATGTTATTTGGACAACAAAAGTTTGACACAATTTTGACAACGGCGACGTGGCAGCTGTGCATTGGCTCAGTGAATTGAAAACAAACCAGAAAAAACCCAAAATACCCCTCACCCCGGTTCACTGAGCCAATGCACAGCTGCCACGTCGCCGTTGTCAAAATTGTGTCAAACTTTTGTTGTCCAAATAACATTTTCCAATCAAAAATTGCTTTCAGATTCAGTGACACAAACAAGAAGATAAGTATCACCAACTAAACCTTCCCCTTTGGCAACTCTTGAGCTTCTTACTTTCCCAAATATTGCTGCTGAAAGTATTTTCCATACACAGTGAAACAGTACTCAAGAAGGAGCCTTAAGCCATGAACCTAACTTAGTTCAGTTTTCCAACTATATGTGACACTTTCCAACGTTGTGTCAGGTTAAACCGCACTCCAATAATTGAAGCATGCTTTGTAGTAAGACGTTCCCATGCTCAAACTCCTAACTCACATTGATTTCATTGTTTCATTGTTATCATCAAAGCCAACAACTAAGAATGAAGACCCTTCTGGACCCTACCCTAAACTTTTCTGTGTTTTAGGCTTTTCATCAAAGTCACACCTAATTAATAACTCAAAATAATAATATTTTAATTATATTTTATAATATCTGACTGGTAATTTTAAGATTTATAGAGATATAGATCTTTGACTAGTATATTTTTTGCATGGTTACATAAGTTAATTATCAACACTCGTAGGAATATTATATGGTTGTATTATATTTCTAAAACGAAAAATCAAATAACAAATATTTCTTCTAAGATTTAATATAACAAAATTAATTGTAAACTAAATTACATTGCGCGGCCTGCAGTTTCAAATTGAATAGTTTATTTGAAACCACAGGGGGTCTTTTTGAACATTGATGTTTGACACAGGCATCATATATATAAATAGACATCACTGTCAAAAGAAATTAGTAACAAAAGATGCAATGGCCTCTTCAGCTATTAACTTGTACATTTTCTGCGTTGGATGAACAGCATCCCAGAATACATATTTGTCTGCATCCGAACAACTATTCACCCCTTTGCATGAATCTCCATATTCTATTGTCCCTGTTCCAACACATCCTTTCGAACCTTCGACAAATCCTGCACTCAACCAACAAGAGGAAAGTACATGAAAGAAAGAACTCGGTCACGCTTAGTAAAACAAAAAAAGCATTATTTTATAGGTCATAGATGACAAGCATTTGCGATTAAAAGTAACTTCAAAAGGGACATAATTCACGACTAACCATATTTTTTAGGATTGGTGACTGCACGTTGGATCATGTCATAAACATCAACCAAAGCAGTTCTTAAGCCCAGCTTTGTCTTCAGGATGTTTAATTGCTGTAATAATTTTGCATTGAATGCATGAGCAACACTATTTAAACTTTTATCACAGCCTTCCGCACTTCTAAGTGTCTTGATAAGTGGAATGCATCCCAGAGGGAGGACTCCTACAATGATTACCCTCCTTGCCCCAAGTCTATGCATTTCCTGTAACCAGCAAGTATATATTAACTCATACTTCGAATGTTCCGTTTCGAACACTCAATGTAAATATATATATATATAATCTTAAATTTTAATAATTCAAAAAATATTTTTTTTTTCTAAATTCTTAATTGAAAGGTATTGTTTTGTTAGTGAGACATTGAATAGTTTTGAATAATAGGTTTCTTCCGTTATTACAAAGAGAAGATAAAAAGATTGAAAGGGACGGACCCTTGAACATGAAACTTATCGGAAAGGGATAAGCATGTTAAACTATTTGAGACTGACTGATTTTTCGATAGTTAAGGAAGGATATTTCGACAAGTAATGTTTAACCAATAAAAACCCTACGAAAAATATAATACGATGCCTACTATTTTGTTCTTATTTTCTTATGCTACATAAGTTAATTAATTCCATTAGACTTATATAGTTTTGTTTATCCTCGTGTTAAACTGCTAACCTCACATGATAGGCCAGAAATGAATGTGGTGTGATTGATAGCACTTTATTGTTGGTGTTATTTTCTGTGGGATTATCACCCCGGGGCCTAGAGTTTCCTACATATATGGTCCATCCAATGCAAGAAAATATAATATCTCTGCACCAACAAAATTAAATGCAAAACTGTGAAGTAGTGCAGAGATATTAAAGTCATGCAATTAAGTTCCTAGCCTCAGAGAACTGCATTTGATCATCTGATAAAATCAAACAAAAATCATATTTAAATAGAAATAATTTTGAATTATTTTATTTTTTAATTATATTTAAATTATAAAAACCAAAATTCTAGATCCAAAACCAAACCGTATGAATTCAAAGAATTTAACGAACAGTTTCTTAGTTCTATTTTTTTATCAGTTGGGAAGTATGATTTAAAAATATTAATAGTATTTGGCCAAAACAATCTCAGTTGTTACTAATTATTTTTGAAACGTTAATTCAAACAGTATTTTAGTTTATATTTTTTAGTTTTTATATTTATTTTCTGTTTATTCTTAAAACATTGATTAAAACTATAGAGTTTATAATCCTTTATAAATTTGATATGGCTTTATTATTTATTTTACATACAATTAGTTTTTTAATAATGACTTACGTTGCGTATTTTAATTGTTATACAATCATTCCTGACATTTATGTTTACCAGTTACTTTGATAAACATCAGTAAATTAATAAGGTAACTTCACAGTTTCATCTATGTAAAGTTTTGGATTTCAATTTTGGAGGAACTTTTTAAATAATTTTAACATGGATAAAATGCAAGAATTGATTGTATAGATGGAGAAAGAGTGAACCTTAACGTCCTTGGCGAAGCGAGAGAGCAAGAAATTCTCGAATTCTTCCAAGCTGAATTGCTTAGGGCGTGTAGGTTCCAAGAAATAATTCTGAAGGAAATCGTTTGTACCCATACTGATAATATACAAGGCATTTCTTGTAATGAATTCTGCTCTTTCTTCGCCCACCTCTCTTCTCAAATGGATCTTGTAATGCGCAAAATACTCCAATTGTTTTGAAACAGACAAAACATTCTGCACCACACCACAGTTAGCTAACTAATCACAAAAACATTCAAATACCTATTATCAAGTTTTTCACAGAATTATGTACCGAAACTTCTGCTGTGTAATCATCAAAACCTGTGGCTGCTGATGCAAAACTGACACCATACTCAAGATCTTCCGGCTTCAAATTAGGGTCCAGAAACGGTGGAATCACCTTTCTATACCCCACTGCTTCAGCTGCACATGTGTTAAATGGAAACACTAATACTCAGTAATTACATACAATAAAATAGGCTTCTTCTAACATCATATAAAAAAACACTTAGAAACATGCGACTTGAATACAATGTTTTAATTGTATTTTTAATATATTAGGTTGGAGAAACTCATGCTCTGAGATCAATGTTTTAATTGTACCAGTCATGTTGTGCTTACGTCTTTTTAGATTAAAGCTTCTGAACTTCCATTTACCATATCAGGGTTAAGTCCTAAGATATTTTTGGATGGTTTTAGTGTACTATGATATAAAATGAGAATGATACATGGTCATTTTTTGAGACTGTAAAAAAAAATAATATAAATATGAATATAATAAAAGATACATGATAAGATGTGAATGAGGAGAGTATTGAATTGATGTTTGTATTAAAAAAAGGTATTCATAGATCATTTAACCAATATAGAAATGAATAGCTCTGATGATCTTATTCATCAGCGGCGTATTAATAGCATATCAGGTGTCTTCACCTAACAGCCTATTTTTTTGACATGGTATGGAAAACCTTTATGACAAGTAATCTAAAATTCTATCCTTGTCATTATTCTTTTAACTAAAGCTTGTTGAATTTCAGGTATGGTAGGCAAGTCAAGTCGGTGCATTATTTGTTCATATGTTTTCTTTTTTTAGGTAATTTTGTGAGGACTAAGAAACTCATTTTCTTCTCCGTTATAACTTGTTTCTTTCTGAAAGTAACTTATTATGGTGACTTAATAATTAATCTTTTAGTAAAACCAATTCAAGGGTTAGGTTTTTCAAATATTACAGACAAACTCATATAAGAAACTTTCAACTCATTGAATTGTCAATAGCATCAAACAAGAAAATAGAAATATAAAAAGAAAAGAAAAAGGGAATTGAATATTTTTACCAACAAAGTCTGTTGCAAGTCTTCCATTGCTAAACCGTCCTGTTGGGCGGCTGTCAAAGAAGTCCTTGCCGTAGGGAAGAAAGTTGCTTTTCATTGTGGTGTGAAGGGCATTGTTGTTGCCAGAATCAACACTTGAATCTCCAAAAACCAGTATGCAAGACACATTATACTTTGAAGCCACTTGTCTCACTAGAGGAATTTCCGCAGCAAGTGAATAGAATGGAATTGTGGCCAGTATCATGATTTTCACTACCAAGTACTCCATTGCCTCACCAAGGCCTTGAAATTACAACTGCAACTGCTGAGAGTTCTGAAATGGGGACCCTTTTTCCCAACAGTGAGAAGTTAAACACGAGCATTGAACAATGCCATGCATCTTTATTTAAATGCAGCACGTAAGGATCCTGTATGGTGAGTGGTTGCTGGAGCATTTAAAAAACGGTCCCTAAATTAATTACAGCATTTAAGGCTTAAAACTACTACTCCCTCTCCTGGCCTCCACTTTAATTGGAGAAGGAGAACACAGCAATGAACTGTACTTCGTTAGCTCCAAAAGTAACTCTGAGAGAGACTTCTTACAAAAATATCATGTGCATTGGTCCACTTTTGTTTCCTTCACTGTACCAAAATCAACTCTCCATCATATTTTATTAACTTCTAATTTATATATCATTATATTCATAATTACCTCGTATACCTTTGTCTGTTGGAACATGATAGTATAACATGTAATCAATATTCTTCAGGTCTAGATGTTTAGATAAAGAAGAAATAGAACACATATAATTACTAATAATGTTAACAATCATCTCGAGGTTTTTTCCATTACATTGAAAATAATAAAACTATCTTTTTTTTAACAATTTTACTAAAATAATCTCTTTCTTTTAAATAAATATATATTACTCTGATTGAGAAAGAAAGAATAATTAATTTAAAAAATAAGTTAGGAATTAAAAAAATATTGATTTCATTGAAATGTACAAAATAACAATAGATTTAAACATTTCTAGAAAACTAAAAGTATATCATCGTGAGATGGAAAAGTTCTTTTGTTATAATTCTTATTTTATTTTTCTTTCTTAAAAAAATGTCTAAGTTGAGTACACTTATCCACATTAATTTTGGTGTTATTCCTGATCAATAGAATTGTTAAAATACACTTTATTTCTTTATTTCTTTATATATATATTTCGATGTTTTAAAATATATTAAAAAAATTATATATTGAATATTGTATTTTGAAGACTATAGTAGAGAGTCCATGTAAGTCCCTAATTTTATAATTTGTTTAGCACTTAGAGTTCAATTAGGTCTCTCACTAACTAATTGAAACTTGTTTTCATACTTATAAAATCTTGCGTTGAATTAGAAAAATAAGACCATTGATTTGAAAGAAGTTTAAAAAGGAAAATATAAAAGTTTGAGTTTCAGTATAAAAAGAAGAATATGAGAATGAGAGATGTATTTGAGGTTGAGTTAAATGTTAGTAATTATTTTCAACATCATGTTATTTTAACAGCGTTTTTCAATCCTCTTATCCCTTTCATTCTATTTTTAAGTATTTTTAGATTCTATTTTGAAAACTAAAATTATAATATTTTTTACTTTAATAAAATGTTTACAAGAATTTTTATTTTAATATTTTTCTTTTTATAGTATAATAAATATACTAATTAGAAAATAAGTGAAGAAAATATAAATAATAAAAAATAATCAATTTTATTTTAAATTTGTAAAAATAACAGTTAAATAAATTACTTTTTTCAAGTTACTTTTACCTTGTTTGCTCAAATAAAATTAGATTTACCTTTGTTTTACTCAAATTTCCGCATGTTGTTCACTCAACATTTTGTGTAAGAGTCAAAATTGATTTACTCAGTTGAGTTTGATTTGTAAAACAATTAAATATTTAAATCTGACTTATTCTTTTAAGTAAATTTAATTAAATTTTGAACTCAAGTTTATTAGTTTTATTTTTTTTTTATAGATGATTATCACGATTCTTTTTTGTATCATCAATATAGTATTTAAAAAATATTGTAATATCATACAATTGTTTAATAAAAAAAATATGTAACATATAGTACGTGAAATTTAAAAAAATTATATGACTAATTTTTTTTATAACTTATTATATGAAAATTATAACAACCCATTTATAGCATTTTATTAATTACTAATAAAAGAGAAATTACATCATTATATTATGGCATGAGTATAAACAAAATCCGTAAGATAATGTAAATTATCTACCTGTGAATAAAATCACAATAGTATTTTAAAAAGAAATCAACTGAAATCAAAATTAGTATATCAAAATATAAGCTCTATTATACAAAATTTATAAACGGATATTAATTATTGCTCCTCCAAATCAACCTACATTATAGACTTAAAATTTTGTACAATGATATGTATAAATATATGCAGGAAAAAAATTTACAGGTTATTCAATTGACCCTTCTTTGGAACTCGTTATTATGTTCTAAATTAGTAATTGATATAAAAATATGTATTTAAACTGTACTATTAAGTTAATGACTCAAACATCAATATCTTTAAACAATTTCTCACTAAATTATCACATTTCAATATATATCAAACAACAACAAACCAAAACCTCCAAATTTTACATATTTAACACACTTTACTTAATCAATTTCACTAATTGTACTTAAAAATTCAAAAACATTAATGTCCAACCATAACCATTTACTTAAGCAATTATACAATGTCAAATTAAACTAACTTTCCTTAACCCTCTTAACAAAAACCTAGACTCTTATTCTTACAACAACTCTAAAAACACAAACAAACTTTTTGATTTAATGATCTAACATATATTTGAAATTATAGAAGATAAAAAAAATTCGAGAAAGTTTGTTAGTGCCACATGCAACCCCTTTGCTCACATGCACGCCAATTACAATAATTCTCAATAAATAAAATAAAAAAACTAATTCAAAATTTTAGAAAGAAGTAAAAGGATTCCTAAAGAGATATTCTAAGGAAATCTAAATATTCATAAATTTAACGAATAGTTAATGAGTGAAATCTAAATATTCATAAATGGTTTTATTCGTAAACAGGTATCATCAATTTTATTTTTTTCCGTAAAAAATATAAATTGATGTTATGGAATTTAATAGCACTGACTACCTCCTGGGGCCTGCAATGAATGAATGCAGTTAGTTGGTTTCTCTAATGTAAATAGATTCATCCATGTTGCTTTTATTCAATAGCATCTCCAATTTAACACATCTAAAATATCACTTCAAATATCTTCTATATACACAATTGTTATTTAATTTCGTAATGCAAAAAGTCATTTAATTTTTATTAATTTAATGTCCATATAAAATAATTATAAACATGTCAACAATCGAAACTTGAAAATAGAATATTTAAAACATTTTAAAAAAAGACATGAAACAAATTACGACGTATCTTTTGAAAGTTTCATATCGACTTATATAAGACTAAATTATAATATATAAGTAAGATCCAAATTTTATTTTATAAACCGATTTGTGAAGTTGAATTAGACTTAAAATCATTTTTTAATATTATAATATTTACATTCTTATGTAAATAAAGAAAAAAAATGTTTTAGCCTAAAATTGTTATTATTGTAGCTACATATAGTCCAGGTTTTGATACAAGTATTTACTAAAACAATTTAATGGAAGGATCACACTGTACATCTCACCCAACATATTATTTAATATATTCATAACTTTGAACTTAAAATTATAAAATAACTCATAATTAAATTATTTTCTCATATTTGTTGTTATATTTGAACTAAATTGGATATTTTTTGTTTACTATGTTGTTATTAAGATGTTCACCATTCAATTAAAACGTTAGTTATAATTGTACTTCTTTTACAGAAGTAACTATGTACTTATAGAATTCAACATCAATGTTGCAACTAACATCCAATGTTTGGAGTTAAATTTGAATATTTATACCAAAAGAAGTTATAACTCAACTAGTTTTATGCTAGTTCAATAACTGAATTATATATTTTAAATAAACGGCTAAAGCCAATTTTTTTGTAATAAAAAATATATTACTAAAAGTTTTTTTTTTATTAAAAAGGAGTTGTTTTTGCACATTTTTCAACAATAACATAAAAATCCATTTTGTGGTAGAAGATGGTTTAGTTTAAATAACGAGTGTGAATTATTGTACATTCGTAATATTTGTGTTCATTTTTTACAAGTAAAAGTTACTTCTTTCATATAATAAATTTAAATAAGTTATACACAAGTTATTTAATTTGTGCAACTAATTATCATTACGTTAAGCAATGAGATCAAAGAAAAGTTAATTAAGAACATATTTTTATAGAAGAAAACACACACATATTTTACTGCTATATATCTATTCAAAGTTCAAACTATCTCAATAGTCTTTTTTATACAAACTTTAACTTAGGTGTTACAGAAAAATAAATCTATAAAATTAAGTCGTACAGACTCCATAATTGAATCAATGATTTAGTTAAGTTGTACAAGTGTCTATATGCAAAGATTAAAATAGTTTTCCATTTTGTCTTAGTATAAAATATTTTTAACGAAGGTGCTCGTAACAATAAAATTACATAATTTTATTAATTTAAAGAAAATTTTCAATTAAAATAATTAACTTTATGAAAGTACTAATTCGAAAAATAAAAAACTAGAAATTGTTAAACTAACGAAAGAAAACGAATTTATTAATTTTAATAAGTAAATCATGTACCAAGTGTTCCGTTGTAGTCTAGTTGGTCAGGATATTCGGCTCTCACCCGAAAGACCCGGGTTCAAGTCCCGGCAACGGAAGTGTTAATCCTTTTTAACAAATCATTAATTGTTTCAATGATAGATTTTGTTTTTAGTTTTTTCTTAATAGATAAGTGATTTATTTTATTTTACTAATTATTACATCTTTCCAACAGAGGAAGTATTCATATATTATTCTGATAATTTTTTTCTCATATAGTTTTATCATGTAATGTCATGTGAATCTTTTTTATAAGTGAAATGAACAGCATGTATCGATGTCAACACTTACAGCTTGTGTACACCAATTATAGAATTCCATTTGACAATTGATGATGATGTTGTTTTTCCACCAAAAAACGTGGCTATAGTGTTAGCAGCTTTTCAGAAATTGGGATTCATTCAGCATTGGACTTTCTTGCATATAATTGCCCTAGTCAACATTTTAGAGAGCTACTAATCGTCCATTGAAATTTTGAAATGAACAAGAAAAAGTAGAAGAACAGTTCAACTTGACAATGATTTTTATATTAATGGCCTTGAATTATTTTAGAGTTAAGGAATTAAATGAAATG